GTTAGGGTTAGGGTTAGGATTGGTGAGCGTGATAGGAAACAATTTCGCTTTCCAGATAATTTGCCTTTGAGAATCAAGGTGAGAGCAGTGACTCTTTTGAAGGTGGGATGTACTGTGAGTTTCCAAGGACCTGATCATTGCAGTCCATCTAAAATGGGTAGAGATTGCCTACCGAGCTAGATTTAGGGGACAGAATAGGCTCCCGATTTCTCTCCCTGTGCAGTGCAGCGTGTGTTCGAGGGTGAGCGTTGGTGTTTTGACGTTCAGCGTTAGGAATGATAGAGGAAAATAAGTACCTGCTCGAGGGTAAGGGTCAGGATTAGGGTTAGGGTTAGGGCCAGTGTTAGGGTTAGGCTAAAGATTAGGGTGAGTGATAGCCTTGGAATTTCTCTACCTGGGTATTGGGGTGTGGGTTTCATAGTATCAGCGTGCGATTTCGCCTTAGGTTAACCACAGTGCAGGATTTCAAGTACTGCCCTATGGGAACTTAGGAATTTCTCTACCTGGGTATTGGGGTGTGGGTTTCATAGTATCAGCGTGCGATTTCGCCTTAGGTTAACCACAGTGCAGGATTTCAAGTACTGCCCTATGGGAACTTAGGAATTTCTCTACCTGGGTATTGGGGTGTGGGTTTCATAGTATCAGCGTGCGATTTCGCCTTAGGTTAACCACAGTGCAGGATTTCAAGTACTGCCCTATGGGAACTTAGGAATTTCTATACCTGGGTACTGGGGTTCTGCTTTGGAGACTCCTAAGTAAGGCATTTCCACTCCTGGAACTCAGCCACCTCAGCTGGGGAGTAAAGGGAAGGATGTGTCTTCCTGCTCGGTTTCTTGGGGAACCACAGGGAACACATTCCCGGCAATGTGGCAGGAACAAGGCTTCCCTCAGGCTCTTCAAGCTCCACCCAAGATCTCCAGGATCTGCCTGCGCATCCAGCAGGGGCCCATCTGCTTCAGGGCTCAAGTCAGGACCACCCATTACCCCAACACCCAGGTCTGCCACCGACCAGGAGCTCTTGGCACCAACAACACAGTGATTCTAGAAAAGCGCCTGCAGAGAGCAACTGGCACTGTCCTCCAGCTTCCAGGAACAAAGCTCAGTTCTGTGCTGTTACACAATACCCAGCACTGCTCCCTGTGACAGAGAGGTTTGTTGTTACCTGCCAGTCCCTGCCACCTTCAAAATATGGAGGGGGCTAACCCAGCGCGGCCTATCCTATGCCCATGAGAAGGATCTCTCTGTCTCCTTCCTCTGCCCACAGCCTCTCCAGTTTTGCCCCCTTCCCCACTGGCCAGGTCACCAGCTCACCCTCCCAGTGCCCACCCTTCCACACCCAGCAGAAACCCCAGGCTTGGTCCAAATACACCCCACACAGCCTCTGGCAGTGTAGCCCTGTGCCAGTCAGCCACACCCCTTTCCTCTCTGCTGAGTTGGCTGTGAGGATCAAATGAGAAAATGTCTGGGAAGGGCTGGAAGTCGGGAGGAGCTGTAACTTTTGAACTGCGTGTCTGTGGTGCCTGCCCTGTAGAGGCTGCATTTATGGATTTTTGCTCAAAAGCCAAGATCACTTTCCACCTACCCTGCTCTTTCCTGATATAGTTAATCCAAGTTGTCTCCTCCGACACCCAGTGCCTTGGGAGGGAGAGGAGTACTTTAGAGATTTAAAGAGGAGACACGGGGCAGGGAGAGAGGGAGATGACCTGAGCAGCTATATAAGGAGTGAGATTGTGGGCAGAAAAATAAGATAACGGGGATCTAAAGAAGTTCTGCTTTGCAGTAGGCAATATAATTTTCCACAACCTCTTAAATCCTTGGCAAAATTGTTAATAATCTTCCATGGCTTTGCATGTGAATTAGAATTTTGGAGATGCGAGGATGGTTGGGTTTGTTGTTCACTTTTTTTGCATGTGGTACTCGAAACTGAACCCAAGGCCTCACACACACTAGACAAATGCTCTACCATTGAGCTATACCCCTAGCCTTTCCCTGCCCTTTTTAAAGTTTTGAGATAAGGTCTTGCTAAATTGCCCAACTGGCCTTAAAATTTGCTTTCCTCCTGCCTCAGCCTCCTGAATAGATTGGATCACAGGTATTTGCCACCACACCTGGCTCCAAATGGTTCAACTCTTTTTTTAAAAATTATTTATTGCCTTAAATTATTGGGATTTAGCGGTTTGGTGGCTTGCCTTGCAAGCGCAAGGACCAGAGTTCAATCCCTGGTACAAAAATAAATAAATAAAATAAAATTATTTCTTTACTTTTGGGGTATCGAGTATATCGAACTCAGGACCATGTGCTTGTGAGGCAGACAGCAGCACCACTGAGCTAAATCCCCGGCTCTCAAATAGTTCACCTGTGAAGGCACCTGGAGGCTCACAGTACCACAGCAGATGCAGAATTTTGTAAATATCTTCCACTTGAGGTTTAACAGGAAGGCTTTAAGGCCTTCAGATCTGCCGCACATACAGGGCAGGGGAGCTGCAGGAGGAAGGCCCCCACCCATCATGCTCCCCACAGTGGGACCTCACACATGGCAGCATTCAGCGGACATCCAGTGGAAAGTCACAGAAGTGCCCTCAGTTTCCACAGCTGTGCTCCCGTCCATGGAGCGACTACACTGCAGTCACTGACATTCCCCAAATGACAGGCGTCTCTTCTCTTCAGTTTGTGGCTCTTTCATTCCCCTCGTAGTTTTCCTCATACTTCTTTCTGGTTCCCTTCTGGGCTTCTCTGAGATGGGATCCAAACCTGGGGAGGAGCGGATGGGTGGAAGACCTACTGATGGGTTAAGTCAGCAGGACACAGAGGCACGGTCTTCTAAGCTGCCCAGGTTGGGCCTGAACTCGTGACCCTCATGCCTCAGCACCTACAGTAATGAGGATTGCAGATGGGAACCACAGCACCAATTCAGATGCCAATTCTGAAATGCTTTTCAACCACGGTACTGCCACCGAAGGGTGTTGTAGTGGGTTAACTAATGGTCAGCTTATAGCACCCAGCTGAACTGAATCAGCGTGGTCTGGGCACGGAGGATCCACCTGAGGATTGTTACCAATAGCCATAAAAAGAGAACTGGGGAGGAAGATCTCGGCCTGTTGATTCTCTAGGACAAGCCTGCTGCAGATGGTTGTGCTGTTGTGAACGAGGCTGTTCTCATTAGAGGAGGAGCTCGAGGCCTCGCTGTCTCTGGGAATCGCTGCTTTCATCAGGGGAGCTCTGGTCTTCACCGTGAGCATCACTTCCTGGCTCCAATGTGGATCCCTCAGCCTGGTGGCACAGACCCTTCATCTCACCGGTACAGGCTTTCTGATTCCACCACTGGCCTTTGGGCCTTCCGGGTGCAGATCCTCAATAGGGACAAGGATGAGACACTGCTGTGGGCCGCAGGCCACTGGCTGGACTCGTGGAGGACGCTGCCTCAGACTCCAAGCCTCTAGCTGGACTTGTGTGGGACACTGCTGGGATCGGGGTCCTCAGGTGGATCCCTTGGGCCCCTAAAGTGCGGTTAATCTCTTGCGTTCCTTTGCATTTGGCTTTTTGGGTAAGTGTCATAAAATAATCCTATAAATTACGTGTCCTGTATTTAATGAATTCCCTTGCCAAACCCTGACTACAACAGCTGCCATTGCCTTTCCAAGGTTATAATCCTGTAGTTCTTTAGCAGGGCCTGGGCCCTCCAATGGACCTGTGCCTGTGTGAGCTCAGGGGGCACTGCAAGAACAAGATGCAATGCAGGACTTCAGGAATCCAGAGTGGCATTTTACCAGGTACGGCCTCCCAGCCTCACACCTGGGATCAGTGTGCATGGCACTGCTGAAGCACTAAATAACCGCAAACTTTACAGTGATAAAGTTATTTACCTGGCAATTTCCATTCTACCTTTTTAGTTTTATTAAAGAAAGATCTCAGGGGCCAGGAATTTACCTCAGTGATTCTGCCATCTGCCTTGCAAGGGCCCGAGTACAAACCCCAGTACCAAAAAAAAAAAAAAAAAAAAAAAAAAAAAAAAAAAAAAAAAAAAAAA